AATGAAAAATTGTGAATCTTACCACTACCATGAATCACTGTGCACATAATTTATTTATTTTTTTAATTTATTTCGTGTTCATGTTTAGTCTTATTAATTGAAAATGAATTATAGAAATTGTGACCACCGTAAGTGTAAGGCAAGAGAATTAAATGAAATCAAAATAATAAGCAGATAGATGGCTGGCTATCAGCAATTATACTGTGGATCGCGGTTCAAAAACAGCGTCGTTACAGTTAACGGAGCGCGTATGTTTGGTGTATTAATTACCAATTGAAATTATAGTGTATCTAAACTGACACTGCCTCACGTATTATTTTTATGTTATCAAATGAAACGGCACTTGAATTGAAATTAAATTGCAGTTGTGTTGAACTGAAACTGCAATATATATAAAATGAAACTGAATAACATTTCACACTGCAATTAAATTGAAATGAAACTGTAGTTGTGTTGAAATGAAACTGCAGTGTATATAAAATGAAATTGAATATCATTTCACATATTTGAGTGTATATTGTGCAATGAAAAGTGGTTTACATGATTACGTCTCCTCAAACCCTAATTAATGTATAAACTAGCTAGTTAGTCTGATCTTTACGTTTCTAGAAATCCCCTCTCTCAATCTGATCGGAAAATGTTGTTTGTTTCGAATTCATATGTTAAAAGCTACTTGACAATATTATCCGGGGTAACACTTGTGTGAGACTGTCTCACAGGTTTTAATTCATAAGACGGATTGAATCTTTAATTAATAGGTCAAATCTTTGATTAATCGATCGAATCTTTGACCTCATTAATCAAAGATCGGACACATATCACATATTGAAACTAGTGAGACGATCTCACACAAGTTTTTGTCGACAAGAAAAGATCAAAGTCTACGGGAGTTAGGATGGTGTACCCCTCACATCCCGTAGTTTTTGCACATGAGATAATTACCTTCCCGGGCCTATAAATATCAGCGTGACTTCTTATGTTTGGATCGTTTATGTTTGTTGATGTTATCATTGCTTGAATTCGAGTAAGTAATTGCTCAAATTAATAGCTAATGTGTAGATGTACACATGGGGTACTGTAACTTTAGATATTTTATATATGAGAAAATTTCAATTTTGGTCACATGACTATAGGGGCATTGTTAATTTCGGCACCTGACTTTCAAAAGTGTCAATTTAGTATCTTGACTATGTAATTTTTGTCAATTTTGGACACTCCGGCCGAATTGACGGTCAAATTTGGCCGGAAAAATTTAATCAAACATTTAGTATATAATCTGAGGGGCAAAATCTTCTTTTGATCCTTTCTAGACTAGATGTTGGATTAAATTTTTCCGGCCAAATTTGACCGTCAATTTGGCCAAAGTAAATTGACAAAAATTACATAGTCAAGGTACTAAATTGACACTTTTAAAAGTCAAGTGTTGAAATTAACAATGCCCCTATAGTCATGTGACCAAAATTGAAATTTTCTCTTTTATATATAATTGTTTAGGATTTTTATAAATTGGGTAATTGTGCTCATTCTCTAGCAACTTAGTTATAGTAATTAATTGTTATCCTAATTCATTTGTATAGAAGATATATTCTTGTTTAGATAGATAATAATTTTGTTATTTTGAAAAAAAAAACATAATATTATCGGGGGGAAGCGCACGCGGAAGGAGTCGTGTAATCCTGGCAGCTTAGAAGCGCGCGCGGAAGGGTCTTATTTCCCATTTACGCCCGCATCATTTAAGGCAAAGATGGCCTCATTTTGAAGGAGGAGATTTTTTTTAGAGGGAGACACAATTTTAGAGAGAAGTTTTCTTAGTTCTTAGATCTAGAGTAGTTTCTCATTTTCTCTCACTAGATTTTAGCCTAAAACTCTATCAATTTTGCAAAGAGAAGAGAAGATCCAAGCATCCCTTTGCAAGATCTTCATCTCTAATCCATTGGATTGACAACCTAGCTTGCATTTTTGGGTAAATTCTTAATATATTCTCTTATTGCTTTATTTTGATGATGTTTACCTTGCACATGCTTAGGTTGTTGATTTTGAGCATGAGTTATTAGGATTAGTGAAGATTACTATTGTGATGATTGGCTTGAATGGATTGTTATATTGTGATGATTGTTTGTTGGAGTTATGAATGTCTTGTTGTGGAGGATGGTCTTTTGTAGCTTCTTTGGAGTGGGGCCCAACACCTTGGATGATTTGGATTCCTAGGCCTAGGCAAGAGATTGCTATCAGGGCCGGCCCTGGAGCAAGGGCAGACTGGGCCCATGCTTGGTGGGGGGCCCACACTCCCCTCCCCCACTTTTATATATATTGTATGCATGTACAAGTAAATAATATACATATTACTTAATTGAAGTTGAAGTAGCTTGGTTGGTAGGTTACTTAATAATTAGTATATACCTTATAAAGGTCAAGGGGTCAATTCTTATTACTAACATTTTTTAATAAAGTTTTCTCTAACATTTTAGAAAATAAAATCTTAATTTGTGAGATTTATTTTTAGGTAAGTAATTTTAGTACTTATATTTAAAACGTATATTTTTTTATGAATTATCTAGTCAATGTAATATATAGAAATTTCTATTACGTGTCATTGTATTTAAATTACTCTAGAAAACTTGATATTGATCTTACTAAAAGAAACAATATTTATAAAACTCATATCATATAAATGTAGAAGATTTGTGATTTATAATATATTTTCTATTCAAACTATTTTATCCAACTAATTATATTTCATGTTTTTTATTAATATTTGTATCGCATTTTAAAGTATTTTAATTTTTTTACCTCCAATCAAAAAGATTTTTAGATCTACATCTTTTTTTTTTAGACCTACTATGTATGTAAAATTGTTAAAAATTGTGAATCTTATTTCAAATAATTTGAATTTAATATTTTTTTCTTTATGTATGAAAATATATCTTAACTTTAAAGGTAGGGCATATTTTTCTTGTCCTGCCCCGGGCCTATAAAATGATAGGACCGGGCCTGAACCTTGGTGAGCCCCTTGATCCTTCTACAGTACTCCCCGTCCTAGCCCCCGTCCTAGATCCGAGAGGAAAAAGGTCCGGGAAGGAATGTAGGCAAGGTGTTTGTTAAAATGCCCCGTAGAGAATATGAGCACCTAGGTGTTGTATTCGCCTATGGGAGGCGTATAGATCGAAATGGCTACGCACTAGCGCATTTCTCTTGAATTGTAACCCGACGCTCAATCAACACAACCTCCTACATCTTGGGATTAAGTCAATCACACACCGCAATTGACACGAGAATCTTAATCTGTTTTTTTTTCCTTATTATTTTCAAATCTTCCTTCAAAGAAATCTTTCAATTTTCCCTCTTATCAACCAATTCCCTATTCCACCACTCTTGAATCGAAAATCTCTAAGTTAGACCTATCTTGCCATGAAACTTACTTAAGCTTCCAAGTTATCATTCCTTGAGTACGACAACCCAGGAATCTTCATTCCCACCTTTCTTTTGAGCCATCCATCAGCACCCCACTTAAACTGCAAGCCCGTCAATCATCAACAAAAACATCTATTAGTTCTTCTACAATACGCATTTCTCATCAAACACTGCATCCATGCTAATTGCCACTTTCTTTGCTATAGGATTTTAAAACTTGTAACCTTTCACACCCTTCTTGTAATTCAGAAAGATGAACTTCTTGAACTTTAGATCAAGTTTTGATCCCTCATCACCTAGTATATGCACATAAGCAAAATAACAAAAAATATGTAAGTGATCAAAATTAACTAGATTAACTATTTAAACTTATCCGATGACCTTGCCTCCCAAAGATGTCGGTGATGCCCTATTGATAAGATAGCACATGCACCATATTCATTACTATGCCCAAAAGCTCTTAGGAAGTCTTGCATTCAATCTCAGACACATTGCTCACTTAGTAATGATCTTGTTCAACCTTTTTGCCATACTATTTTGCTATGGTGCGTGTCTTGAGAACTATAAAATGCCTTTGAATCCCATGGTCCTAAAAAAATTTCTGAAATGCAATTTCCATGTATTTCATACCATTGTTAGATCTTATGTACTTGATTTTTCGATTAGTTTAGTCTCCACCTTAGCTTTTAACAACATGAACTTAGCAAAAAATCCATATTTGTGTATCACATAATGCACCCAAACTTTATTAGAAAAAATCATCAGTAAATGTAACATAACAACAAAATCCACATAAATATCTCCCTAGTAGGTTGCCACACATTAGAATGAACATTATCAAGAATTCCCTCAGTTATATGCATATGCTTTCTAGAGGAGAAACTAACTCTAGTATGTTTTCGAAGCATACAAAAATGATAGAAATCCAACTTGCAACACTTGATACTTTTTAACATAATCTTCTTATGGAGTTCATACATACCACGCTACCTAAGATTTTCAAGATGCAAATGCCGTAACTTTATGCTATCACTATCAAACTCATCAAATGAATTCCACCTACAACCATACTCCATAACATTTTATAGATATTCCTTGTTGTTCTCGTGTTTTTCATTATAGTGAACGCACCCTTACCAATTTTAATGATTTCCCTATAAATTTACCTTTATGAATAAGCCCATTTTCATGCAAAGTGCAAAAAAAAAAAAAAAAAAAAAAAAAAAAAAAAAAAAAAACTTTGTTAACCTCTATGTCTAGCATCACATAAAGTCCTAACAACACAATCATACATCTTAATTTATATTTCACCAATGCCAACAATATTTTTACGCTTATTATCACTTAAAAAATAGAAAAAAATTTACATAACTTGTATGCGTCAAACCATACTCTATTAAGTGATATGTGATAAAAGCAACCAGAACCAAGAATCCACTCATTAAAAAATTGGCTATATGAAACCACAAGAATACCATCATCATTGCAATCTGAATGTTCAACTTGTGCCACGTTTATTAGGAATTTGTATTTTATAAGTTTTAAGATTCCTACTCCATCTCTAAGTATTATTGTAACTTAACTTTTACTAGTCCTACTCTAGCTAGGACTATATCTTGTATTCCTATAAATAAATCTCTTCATATACTTTGTTGATACGATTGATTAATAATAAAACTCTCTCTAGAAATTCTTGTTCTCATATAGTATTAGTAGACAAAATGATCAGTGGCCCCAAACCAATCCCTAGCCCCAATAAATACTCTATGTACACCCCATAACTTTATGCCCCTTAAATTTACCTCCTCCAATTATACATTTTGAAAAACTCAGCTTGTTCCTTTTTCCGCGGTCAAAATCTCAGTGGATATGTTGATGGTACATACACATGGATTGGTGTTCCGTTGAAGTCATTCTCTATTTTGTCCATGATCATCCCGTATTTATCCGATGAAGTTATGTATGTCGTTGTGGGACATACCCCGTCCCATGCCCTATGGAAAGCTATTGAAGTTGCATTTGGTTCCCCCTCACGAGCATGCACCCTGAGTTTCCTTAGTTAGCTTCAGTCTTTCTGCCAAGGGAATTCCACTACGACTGAATATCTTGGCAAAATCAAGGTTTTAATTAGACTGCATGCTTAAGGTGGCCGACAAATTGGTTTAGATGCTTAAAATCTATACCCGTTTAAAATCCCCTGCCCTGAGTATTGTTCGATGGCCTCTTAATTTACCACAAAAAAAAAAAAAAAAAGAAAACATGTGACAATTGATCAACTAAATGACTATCTCACAACCTATCAGTTCATCTACACTGACACCATTCCTCTGTCGACTTCCCAACAACCACATGCAACTCTTGTCGTTCAACATGGCCCACTTGCTGCCTCACGACCAAACAATCTACCTAGAGACCCCACGGGCGTAGTCATGGATATAGAGGAGGCGGATGCCACCTTTGTATCCATAACTATGTTTTGAAGTGCCAAATTTGTAACAATGTTTGCCAAACTGCTTTACACTTATATAGGTGGTATTTGGGGGGCAACCAATCCTCAAACACACGTAAGTGTAAATAGTCTCCTTGCTAGGTTAATTTCACAACACCTTTCAGTGGAAAACGGTTGTCATTTTGTTGAGTGCTGGACTTGGAAATCCCTCAAATTTCACTTCAGCAAAGAGATCTTAATTCAGCTTGATCGCTTTGAACACTTGCACAAAATACTCTTTATCACACTAGTTTCAGCACTTTCTCTTCATATTCTCTCTAAGCTTTTGGGTTCATTCTTTATAGACAAGATGAGGGATGAGTGCCAACTTTGAATTTGAATCTTCTGATTGTCACTCAGCAAGTGGTAGCCGTCTTGAAAGTTGGTACAATTCCCTAAAATCCGCTACCATATGATAACTTGTGCAACTTATCCATAGGGCAATGACGATTTCCCTATTTAGCTTATAAGCACTCCAAAGTAAAAAAGAGTTGCTCCTACTTATTACAAAATTTTCTTTTTGTAGACCTCTAGGTGTCAGAAAAGTTATATCCTTCAAATGACTCATTTTGTTCTTCCTTTAATGATCTCCTTCTGAGGTTGATCTTCCTTAAAAAAACCTTCAATAGATCTCCTACTACATTATTGGAATACAGTAGAATTTCTTTTCCATCATCTAGGAAAAACAATCAAGACTTCCTCTAGTCTTGAACTTCTTCCGATCCCCTTAGCTTCAATTCCTTCCAACCTAACTCCTATCGCTTGATTCCTTTCGAAACAGCTTCATTCCGGTCAGTTTATCTGCGAAGCCTATCTAAACTTACAACAAAGAATGATGGGATGAGAACAATAATACATCTAGGAAGAAAAATTTTGGAAGAATATATTATTATGGAATAGTTCTTGATTATACATTATAATTGAAAGGACTATTTACAGGAATACAAAGAGTCACAGTCAGGATAAGAATGGTAAATAGTAATAATCCTAATAATATACGGAGAGGGAAAATAAATTCTAGTGTGCCTAGAATAAAGAGTCCTAATATATCCCCTCAAGCTTGAGGTTCTCTAAAGAAAACATTGAGCTTGTCCCTTAGATCATTGAATATTGCTCTAGTTAGTGGCTTGGTGAAGATGTTTGCTAGCTGGTCTTTTGCATAAATGAAGTTGACTTGTATTTCTTTTTATGCCACTTTGTTACGAATAAAATTATAGTCAATTTCAACATGTTTGGTTCTATCATGGAATACACAATTTGCACACAAATATGTGGCACCGAGATTGTCACAACAAATAAAATTTTGGTGGTTTTTGCACTATTAGACCAAGCTCTATAATTAAAGCAACAAACCATGTAACTTCCACTGAGACATCAACAATAGCTTTGTATTATGCTTCTGTTGATGATCTAACAACTATCTTTTGTTTGCGGCAGGCCCATGAAATTATATTCTTACCAAGAAATACATCATATTTACTAGTAGATTTGTAGTCATCAGGAAAACCTTCCTAATCCGAATTCAATAATGCATGAATATCGTCTGAATTTGATTTCATAAAGCGAAGTCCATAGTCTAGAGTGACTTTGACATACCTTAGAGCACGGTTTAGGGTAATCCAGTGATAATTGGTTGGAGACTACATAAATTGACAAAGTTTGTTGATAAGAAATGAGAGATTTGGACGAGTGGTAGTGAGATATTGAAGTGCTCCGACTGTGTTCCGGTACTGTGTTGGATGTTCATACAGTTGAGATGCGTTTGACTGGAATTGGTGTGGAAATTGGCTTGCAGTGTTCCATTCCGGATCTTTTGAGTATCTTAAGTAAGTAAATTCACTGTGATAGAAAAAGCGCCCCCTTGCTGTGTACTATCTCAATCCTTGAGAGAAAGCTTGGAGGTCCTATATCCTGGATTTTTAAAGCGTCATCTAGTTTGCTTGTTACTGAAGCCAAGAGACTAGTGCTGCTACTCATGATTAATATGTCATCAACATAGACAAGGAGATAAATGTGACTATTAGTAGTGGAATAAATAAATATATTAACACATCAATTTTCAACGCCTTGAAACCAATTGAGAGTAGCCAATCTTGAATACGCTTGAACAATGCACGTGGTGCTTGTTTTAAACCATAAAGAGACTGTTGGAGGTTAAAGACATGAGTGAGAAAATTGTTGTCAATATATCCTGGTGGTTGTTTCATGTATACATTTTTACTTAGGTAGCCATTGAGAAAAGTAATCTTCTCCTAAAACCAATCATTTGTCATAGCAAGAGATAAGAGAAGTCTTACTGTAGTTGGTTTGATGACAGGACTAAAACTGTCAAAGTAATCTTCTCCTTCAACCTGATTGAACCCTTTTACAACAAGTCTGGCTTTGTATCATTCAAGTGTACCATTAACTCTCTTTTTGATTCGGTAAACCCATTTGCATCCAATGACATTTGTATCTTTTTCTTGTGGAACCAGCTGTAAACGCGAAAAACTTGAATTGTATATACTCAAAATTCAAAGTATCGGTTACAAGTAGTATCAACTATATATCAAACGGGAGGGGTACAATCTCTGTATAGGAGAAGTCCTCTGATTCTCTACTAGAAGTATGCCTGTTGAAAGTGTGCCGAATCCGGAATATGCCGAATTGGAAGTGTGCTAAGTTCAGAGTATGCTGTCATGCTGAACTGGAAGTATGTCAAGTTCGGGAGTGTGCCGAACTGGAAGTAAGCCAAGTTCAAAGTATGTTGAACTGGAAGTATGCCGAGTTCGTGAGTATGCCGAACTGGGAGTAGTTCCTTGCTGAAGAGCCTCCGGAGTTATGTAGCTTGTTCTTCAATGAAGGGCTAATATGCAGCTTGATCTTCAAAGAAGGGCTTCCGGTGTTCAAATAGCGTATTCCTCAGCGCAATATATGATATACGCAGTTGACGATATCCTGGCGAGATTTCGGCAGAGCTTCGATATGCAGATTTTCAGAGCCCATTCTTTGAAAATGAAACCACTATTTATAGTGGTGAGGGTGAGGGAAAATCTCCAACCAACTCTTAATTCCTAATAATTTAATTTAATTATGTTAATTAAATTAAGGAACGTATCGAGACACCATTGCGTCCAGGTTCATGATTTCATTAAATTTCCAAATAATATCAAATATTCAAATTTCTCAAAATTATATAATCCACATATAATTTTGATGGGCCAAGACCATGTCAAACCCGCTAATTAGGCAACCCAATTCATCCAAGCAGTTTGGTCCAACTCAATTAAATATTCCGCCATTTTGGGCCGAACAATCCAACATTCAATTACATTTAATTAAGTAATTAAACTAACTAATTATTCAATGGGCCATTTAATTAACCCAATTAAATAAATATTAGTCCAATTAGTCTAATTAAGGTAATTAATTTAATGATCAATTATCCACCACGGTTCAACAATATCATTTAAATTTTCAATGCTTACACCAGCCTCCAAGTGTTGTTGTGCAACGCTGCATTAAATTCCCCATCCATCACGGTCCCCCATTCAAGGCTTTCCACAGCTTGGGAGTGGCATGTGGGTTCTGAGTTATCAATACAGGAAATTAGAGCTTTGTTACTTGTGGAATCATGAGTCATGTGCCTAAGGATCATAGGATGTGTGTGTTGAGGGTGCTCGAGTCTGGATGGGTCAACTGGAGAAGGATCGGGAGAAAAATCAGTAAGGGATGCGCAGGTTTCGGCGGCACAGGTGTGTCACGGGAGTATCGGGGTCGTGTCCCTTACTGGAAGTGGGACACTGACATGTCGGCAACATGGGTATGTCAAAATTTTGGCACTCCGGTTAGCCTGGTACATTGACGACAACTCATGGTTTTGAATCCTGAGTCGTAGTGTAAACCTGTGGAGGAGTTTTAGCTGCAAAAGGGAAAACACACTCATCAAATCGAACATGGAAAATGGTAAGAATTTTTTGATTATTTAGATTCAAGCAACTATATCCTCTAAAAGACTCTAGGTAACCAAGGAAGAAAGATGGAGCAGAACGATACTTTATTTTGTGTTGATTGTAGGGACGAAGATAAGGAAAACATAGAAAACAAAGACACGGGGGAATGAGTAGTCTAGAGGCCGACTTTTTGTTGAAGATTTCATACGGACTTAAATTTTTTAAGATTGTAGAGGCATTCGGTTAATTAGAAAAATTGTTGTATCATTGGCATAAGACCACAACATCATAG